TTATTTTTTCATTGCAAAAAAGAAAAAAGGTATATATGTATTTAAGTTTAAACTATTGTCTGGCACAAACACAAACGAATGTTTTTTCGTGCGGAAGCTTTTTTTCAGAGTATAAACTCGAGACAAACTTTTTTTTTCAAATGTGGGAATTGTTTATTCAGAGATGTATCAGTGGTGTTGATCGCAAGTAGGAGAAGGATGAGTGGACAGTGTAGAAGGAAAATGGGGACGAGGAGATGGAGGAGAAAGACGGGAAGGTGCAGGAAAGCGAGAGAGCCGCGTGAATAGCGCTTCCGGTGGGACGGCGAGTGAGGTCCGCAGGGTTTCGCAGACTCCTGCATCCGGTCCAGCATCCGGCGTTGCTACCCTATCGAAAACCGGGCCCGGATCTCGCAGTGTTCGTCGTCCACCCCCAACGACGACGACGATGACGACGAATATCTCTCTTTCTCTCTCTTTCCTTTTCTCTGTCCAGCCAGTCCAGAGTTGGAGTCTCGCGTACGGCATACCCACTGGCGTTCGTTAATTAAGATATCGATTCTTATTGTCCGCGCGGCTGCCGAGTCGAGCGGACGTCCTGCCCGGCGCCCGATTTCACGCCCACGATCCACGTTACTTCTTCATGAGAACTAATCCACCATGTTAACGGGCCCTTTCTTTCCTCGTATCCAAGTCTTCGTCTTAACGCTTGGCTACTTCGACTTGACGTAGAATTCATCGATTTTATTAAATTCGGAAATTGTTAACGATATTCGATAAGATGGTTAAAATTTCAAAAAGAAAAAAGAATATACGGTATATATAAGTAAAAAATTTGACGACAACATGGCACGCGACTGCTTTAGGGTTGATTTTCTCTGAACCATCTGTGAAAAACCTCGAGAAGGGAAGGATCGTAAAGGATGACCAGGGTTGTCACCTGATATATATCTTTATGGTCGCCCGAGAGAGCCCTCTTTACCTCTCTCTCTCTCTCTCTCTCTCTCTCTCTCTCTCTCTCTCTCTTTCTCTCACCCAAAGGGTCTTTTCCACTATCCAAAACGGACCTTTCTCGGGTTCTCCTCACAGAGGTGCTACAACCGTTGGCTTGCTATGAACGAGCGTGTAAAAAGCGTTGTGGAAAAGGGAGATCGCGTAATTATGAGGATTAATCTTAAGTCCCGTAAAGTCCACCACTTGTAGAGCTCGTTCCCCTTTGTATGTCGCGATACCTCGTTCTTCTCTTAATTCTTATTCGATAAACTGAGGAAGAGAATTCTGTCAAAGAAGGATCAGTAATCTTAAAATTCACTAAAAGTGAAACTTTAACAGATTTAAAATATATGAAAATATATATAAGAAAAAGTATACGACTATAATAGCAATTTCTAAATTCTTAACGCATGATTCTTTTAATATTTGTAACATTCTCATGATGATTCCTTTACCCTTCACCTCTTTTACATCTCGAGCAAAGAGGTACCATGGAGTAGGTACGTACGTATGTAGAATGTCGAAGCTACAGGTGTCAGCGAGAGCAGTATTTTTCAGTGAGCTCGCTCAGGGTATGGGTTATAGAGGAAGAGAGCGTAGGGTAAAGAGCAGACAGAAAAGGGATGAGGAACTGAAAGAGGGAGCTAGAAAGAGAGAGAGAGAGAGAAAGAGAGAGAAAGAGAGAAAGAGAGAGAGAAAGAGAGAAAAAGACGTTTCACCGCGGTAGGGTAGCAGAGTGCCGGCACGCACGTTGAATCTGCTAAACGTTCTCGCTCGTGCGTGAAATGCCTCGATATCACTGTTTTATTTCGACTCGTTCGTTCGTCGTTGCTCTTTCGCTCCCATGCAACTCCATCCTTTTTACCCTTGTCCCGTTTACCACGATCGTTCGCATACGCAACCCTTTCTCTCTCTTTGTCATTTGCTCTCTTTTCATCCTCGTGTTCGCTCGTGCAGATTTGATGACCCTTCGACGCGATTTGCTCGATCATTGAAAACTCTCCGCGATTAATTACTCCTCCGCAGTTTTTTGCGATTAACTCAATAGAATTCTAACGGAATGGAAACGTTCTTGAAATCAAACGAAGCTGCACGAATTTGCTTAAAGAACTTACAAATATCCTTTGAAACGTATTACTTTTCGAAGTGGCACTCAGCTTTCAACAAGATAATCCAGGTTATTCGAAGACTAACTATACAATATGAGAAAAATAAATTTGTCGACAGTATTACTTCTGCTTTTCTCATAATAAGGATATTTGTGTTTGACAGGGAGCACGTTGAGATAATGAAACGTCGATGAAAAAACTCGACAAGTCGATAAATCGCAGAATGGCTCCTCCGGGCGATTTAATTAATAATTATCGGTCCGAAAACGAACGCCTAGGCACAATGGCGATACTTCCTCCTTGGGTAATCCTCGGAAGATTAACGAGCCCGTACCGTCAGAGAATCCTCTCCCTCCTTCTCTTTCATCCTCCTCTCTCTCCTTCTCTTTCTCTCTCTCTCTCTGTAATTCTCTCTTCCTTTCTCAGCTCTCTCTTGTAGCCACAAGACGCCAGGGCGCGCCTTGCGGTGGTTGCGGCAAGAACCCCTCGCCGTACCGCATTAACGCAATTATGAATTTGTCGCGTTGGGATCTGACAATACAAGATGTCGCTACCATTCCCCTGCCACGTACCTCTCCTACCTCTTGTCGCTACATGGTCCCTCGCCTATGTCTTCCATGTCGACACTAAAACCAACGCTAAGTCCTATAAATATAACCTGCAGAACGTAACATTTAAGCAGAATAAACTAATAAAAAGCAAAGCTTCCTTCATTACAATTTTACTCCAAGTCAATCAAAATTCTTAATTTATTTAGTAAAAAACGGATCGACGGATATATTATAAAATAATATGATTATATTCCGAATATTATTACTTCAATGCTCCTTTGTATAACTGATGAATCGATTTTCTCGAGTATTTGTTAACAATTCCGACAGGAAGATAAAAGTATAGTTTTGAATAACCCTAACTTAATTTTCTAAAAGTGCCTCGGTAATAGTAGCAGCACTAGTAGCAACTCAGTAGGAATAGCAGCAATAGTAACAATAGCTAAAAGCAAGAGGAGTAGTGAGAACGAAGATAGTAATGGTGTGCAGAATAAGACGAGAAAGAGGGAACTACCCGAAAGCGGTACCATGCGGTAGCATAGAATGGGTGAAACGAGAGGATCATTGCGGCTCTCCGCAGGCAACTGCTGCAACCGACTCCTCGCGACAAATTCCTCCTAGCTCGACCACTCTCTCGTCCGTTCTCTTCGTCTACTTTCCATTCTCGGCCACATCGGACCGGACTATCTCCTCCACACCTACTACCTATCTATCTACCTTTATACACCAACCATTTTCGTACACTTTGACTCTCTACCAGGAATTTACACTGCGCGAGAAAATCAATCGACCTAACGACCGACAGAACAGCCGAGCCATGCAAGAAACCAAGACTACCGTTCCCCTTTCCCTTCTACCCTCTTTCTACTCCTTCAACGGACCGGAGTCTGCTACGTATAGGGAAATGGACTGGTTGGTCTGAGCATGGAGCTTGGACGATGAGCTGTAGGAGAGTGCCTAGGTCGACCCTTAATATCGTAAGAGCTGAATCCACGCAAACAACCCGTACGGTCCTAACGTAACCTTCGGTTAAGCACTGGAAAGCCCCTGGTGTGTTGCCGCTTCGACCGCCGCTGGCCCTATTATCGCTGCTAACTAATAAGGGACCTAATTGAAACGTCGGCCTTTTGTTTTCGATACTCGACCAGAGGTCCAGAGGTTATACCATCTCGAGGCCGTCTGAGACCATCCGAGCAATGGCCACTCCATCGAAATGTGCCTTTGAGTACGAATTGTTTGTCCAATATGTCGAGATAATTCTCGATTTATCTTTTCTTTTTACTAATACGATCACTTTTTGAAACTCTTGGAAATGACGATATATCATGAAGGTTGCTGAACTTCCACAAATAATTGTTTTGTTACATACACGAAATCCCCATAATGTTCATGACTATTTTCTGTTGAAAGCCGATGAAAACTAAAAAAACTTTGATAAAAGTAATGATCAGAGTAGATCACTTTCATTAGTCTTCATGTACTTCGTCGTACTTGATGGTCGATGCCGTTCTACCTTCACAATAATGAATACAAAGACATGTATTTTATATTCTACACGACCAACATATTACGTACGTATACGTATACGCTAGCTTACTCGATGTCCACACGATATAGTTGGATATTATTCCTGGTGGACGCAATCATATTAGTTTCCGAAGTTATTAGAATATTTATGCGAACCCGTCGCGAGGTTATATATGATAGCAGGGCCTTGCCCTCTCCTCTGTCTCGCGGCATCGAATCACCCGCCACCGTTCTCGTCGTTGTCATCGACCACCAGAAACCCCTAACGCGGTGGTCGAGTTCTGACTATCAGGAAAATTGTAGAAAGAAACTCTCAGAAGGATCTGGAAAATCGTTCTTGACGATTGCCATTTTTTCCATGTAATTTTTCTTTGATATTTCTTTCTTTTGATTTTGTAATCAAAGAAATTTATTTGAAAATTCTTCGAATCGATGTTTGACACTATCTTCCTGAAGAAAAGAGAGAGAGAGAGAGAGAGAGAGAGAGAGAGAAAACAGTTTTTACGCAGAAAACTTTTAGTATTCTCCAATGTTCCTTACGTAACTTCGAAGCACTGAAGCACGAGACGAGATATTCCAGCGTTACGATATTAAACGCTAGAAGAGTAGTTCTTCCACGACGCAGAAAACTTTCCGCTTGCACAAGAGGGAAACGAGAAAAAGACGATCGAGGGAGTGTTGCTCGGAGAGCAAGACGAAAGTGCTTGTCTGTGGAGTCCGACGGAGGCGACGGCGAATATTCCAAGGATTTTTATAGATGACGTTGAAAAAAAATATGCTGTTTTTGGAAGCTTTAAAACAAAAACTGGCAAAGAGAGAGTTGTGATGGTAGAAAGCTTACCTTGTTGGCGTGGATTTAAACAAGCTGCTCGCGAGATAGATTGTTGTGGATCTTCCAAAAGTCCACTCTGTCGTGTTTTGCTCAAGTACAACTGAAATAAAAAGTGGTATAACGTTAGTATATTGTATTGAATTACTTTATAAGTTAAATAAAAATATAATTTCACTAGATCTGTCCAAATATATTAATCCTGTTATATTAAAGATTATTTTTAGGTCTTAATTAATTAACTCTTTATCGATAAATAAAATAAAGAACATCTCATGAACGATGTCTCACGTAGCAAGCTTTTTTTTGTCATTCTCGAGCTTCTTTTACGATTTCACCCTCGCGTTTTGTCTCGACTTTAGCCTCTTTCGCCAATAAGGAAGTCCCTAGCCGTCCGATCATAGGATTTGGGTATCCCGATCACGTGCCAAGGGTGAACCATCTCCTTTAATATCAGGAGCGATTCGGACTGACTCGCCTCCGTATAAAATAAAGGGCTGATATGCGAGCATGGTACGGAGGAGGGAGGAAAGGAAGAGTAAGTGCGATGGGGATGCTCGCACGAGCGAGCGAGCGAGCGAACGAACGAATGAACGAATGAACGAACGAATACGAGCGAGAGAAGACCGCCGAGTGGAAGGGTAGTTTCAACACCGTAGTGAGGGATGACTGAGCGAGTCGGTTAAACGCGCGTCTTCTTTCATAAATTTCGAGGGGGCCTTAGGATAAAGGTTTAGAATAAATCGTTCGATCTGTTATCCAGTCTGACGTCGATAGATAGCGTTAAACGAAAGTGTCTATGAATAGTTTCTTCATAGAAACAGTCCTTCATTTTTGCGTACCTAAGGAAAAGAAATTTTATTCGAAAAATTATATGACAGAACTAAAGAATATTACTAGATAATCAAATAACATATAAACGACATCTTAATGGTATTAATTTTTAAATACTTAAAAAAAGTTTTTTTCGTAAGATTAGAATTATAGTTATTATATATGGAAAAAACAAGGTAAAATAAAGATATACGATATATTTTTATCGTAGCTATCGTGAAAAAGATATCCGATAGCAAGGCTGTAGCTTGCCTTACGTCATCCATTTGCACGTTATAAGGAAAGACACGCGCAAAACTTACTGCGTCGAAGGCAAATGCAATATGAAAGTAGAGGCGTAGAGAAAAAGAGAGCTTGAAATGCTCATAAATACGTCCTCGAAAATCGCACAAATCGCTCGTTCGAGGCCAATCTTCTTCGATGTTTTCCTACGAAAGATACGAGAGGGAACCCTTCTTCGTTTCGTGAAAAGATACTTCTATCCATAGAAGATATTTCTATCCATATACGCAACACACCGACGTACATATGTGTCCATGTGAGCACGTATAACGTCCAGTAATATAACACTTGCGATATAGAAAGAAAAAGAGAGAGATGAAGAGAGACAAGAAGAGGTAGGGAAAAATGAAAGGACGTAGCTCGAGGGGCAAGATGGCTAAAGGAGAGACCAAACCAGCCAGAAAGTCAGTCCAATTTCTCAAACCTGTCCAATCCGCGTCGTATGCAAAATCAATCACGTTCTAACCTTACCATCTTTCCCCTCGTTGGCCATCGTTGCTACAGCAGAGAGTGGTCTTGCGATTTTCGGATTTGTAGACGACTGACTATTTGACATTTGGAGTACGAAAATGTTAAAAAAAAGCAAGTATCACTTTTCCCGTTCCTTTGAACATTCTAATTTCCATAAGTCGATCGAATTCATTCTCGTTAATCGGCTCTCGATGAGTTTCCTATAAGGGTGATCTTTAAGGCCGACTATGATACGCCTCGAAAAAAGTAATTTGTCCTTTGGGACACGAACTTCAAAGTATTCACGATACATTTGTCCCACGAGCAGGCTTACTGTACCACTCTGCGTTCTACTTGTGTCCTTTTCTACTTTCCGTGCTCGCTGATCAGACTTGCTGATTTTTCCCGTCGGAACGTCAGACGTAACGTTGTCCACCGTTTGCTTCATGTGTCCACGGTTCTCGTCTGTCAGGATGCACGACGTAGAAAAGGTGAAGAGGGTTTTGGCCAGAAGGGGTGCGAAAAGTTTAGCATACGCATTTTGTACATTGAAATCCCGACACGCTCTTCCAACTTTAAATTGAAACCCGTCCGCCGCCACCGTCGCCTCCGTCGTCATCGATAGCTCGATGTTCTTGTTGTTGTCGTGATCGTATCATTTCAAATAGCTTCACTGAAATTAGTTTCTAGACGTAACAAGATGGAGTCCACTGAGGGAAAACAAGAAAAATGAGAAAGTCCCTTTGATACTCTTTCCTAAACGAAAATCAGTTTAGCGGAGAGACTACGTTTCGAATAATACTAATTACGATATACTCCTCTTTATTTTTTCTTTTTCCCTTTTTTCTGACATCTTCTTCTTTCAGATTTCCATCTCTCTCACTCTTGCCTTCCTTCCATCGTGCGCGAATCACTTCTCTTTTAGACTTCGAATTGTAATTAACATTTGGTTCTCCCATTAGTGTAATTAAAGTGCCATTCCATAATCTAGGAGGTAGGCGAAAGAGAAGAGGGGCACCTTATCTTTCAGACTTCAGCCTCGGCTTGCGGGGGTCGTTTCAAACCCCGCCGGGCGTCTCCAGCCCCTTTTCGGTAGAACGACCGTCGGTGGGTGCTTGTATTCCTTCCTTCGGTGATAACTCCTTTCTGGAAAAGGACTTTCCGCATCGCGAAAGAGGAAAGGAGAAGAAGAAGGAGATAAAAAGAGAAAACGAGGAAGGAATAGGGAAAGAAAAAAAAAGAACGAGCAGACGATTAAAACGTTTAGAAATCCGATATCGAGTCTTATTTCCTTCGAATAAATCTTATGTATAAATACCTACGTAGTTAGAGCTTATAAAAAAAATCTTCATGATTTTTTTCCCTATTCTAGAAGGAGACAAAAAAGCTCTTGTTCTAGGGATAAATACATGACGTGTACTATACTGTATATTATATATAAAATGAAGGAATCTTTGAAGGCAAACGATAAAGATAAAGGTCGTATGAGGCTTCGAGAGTAGAAAGAAAAAATGACAACGGGCTGCTAGGGCGCTAAAATAAAGAAAAGCAAGGGCCAAGAGAGAAAAAGATAGATAGAAAGAAGTAAGCCCGTCGGTTGACATTTTCCGGTGGTTAAGTTAATAATGCGTACGGTACACAGAGCAGAGAGCAAGGAGGAGAGCGTCAACGAGGGTGAATCTGCAAAGTGCCATCATAAAGAGGCGCGGATGTGTTTATTCGGGAATTTGCCTTTTCTCTTCATCGTCCTCTTTTCTTTCTTCGCCTGGAAGCTGCTAGGAGGGAGTAGATAAGATGTTATCTTATTTTGGAGGACGATCTCGTTTCTCTCGCGTCTCGATTTATATCCTCTCGGTCGTGCTTTGAGGGACGAGGGAAAAAAGAGAAAAAGAAAAGATCAGAGAAGTATAGCTAGAAAAAATGTGTAAAAAGGGAAAAAATTGGGAAAAAGAGGAAAGATTGAGAAGTTACACAGATAATAGGGGTTGGATACAGAATCACGAAGCAATTATTTTTATTCCAGTCCGTGAAAGAGTTTTAAGATCGTCCACTCTCGGTCAGTGGACCAAGGAATAGTACGAAAGAGCTCGAAGGAAGAATGAGAAGAAGAAGCAAGCGGGAGCAGAGACGAGGGAAGAAGGATTAGCCTCGTCAAGTGGGAAAGTCCGTGACAAAGACGTTAAAGTGGTTTAAGGGGATGAGATATATCGTCCGAAATCTGGGGTGAAACGCTCACGTCTCCAGCCTCACGCTGTCCTGTGCCTCGACTGCGACACTAATGGCATTTTTATTATTTCTCTTCGGAGGCCAGTAGAGAAAAAGAAGTAATGGCTCGTCTCTATGGTTCATTGGACATGTGACAGGATCGACAGTTTCTCACCTATGCTTCTAGTTCGTGCTTCTACGTTGTTGGCTTTGGCGCGTGAAGATTTTCGGCCAAAACGCGATAAACATCCACCTTGAAAGAACGTCGAATATCAAGGAAAAATAAAACATTGAGTCCGATCAATCTGGACGACTGAAAACAACGTCGACCAATTTAACATTTTCCTCTCAATTTTTTTTTTTCTCGGAATAATCCGTTCGTAACTTTTCTAAGCATTAATAGTCATATAAACAATAGACGCCATCATATTGCAATGCAATAAAAGGTAGAATAGTTTGAAAGTAGATAAAATACGTAAAGATAGTTTCAAAAGGTAGCGTTAATAAATAAAGATGCACAAGGTGGATTAACGATAAAAGTCGACCTTTTAGAAACGTTTCGAAAATGTACGCTGGCGTAAGGTCACAAATCATAAGTAGCACGAGCTACAACGTAGCGTACGGTTATCCCACACCTCGCGCGTTCCTATGAAGCCCGTTGGGCTCCGTTAGGTTTTGATGAATGAGCCTCGCATAAAGCTGAAGTATGGTAAAAGCCGCCAACGTTGCCACCGTTGCCGCGACCACCACCATAATATTCTATCCCGGGAGCTTTTAGAATCGCTAATGACTAATGGCACCAAAGAAGCACCCTTCAATGGATGTTGCCCCACGGTTCATGGATTAGCGTTTCGCGTGATTCGAACCTACATAGTAGCTAACGTTCTCGACAGCTTTCTCCAAAGAACTAGACTCTGCATCCTAGAGTTCTCACGGCCGTCATGTTTCATTCTTGATCATCAAAAAACTTTCTAGGACACATTCGTATCTATTTTTCTTTTCTTTAAAAAACTTATTAATATGGCATGGAACATAGAAAAAATTTGATCTGCCTGCCTGCCTGCCTGTCTTCCTCCCTGCTGACGACGGGTTTTAGCTCACCATTGTTCACTATCCGAGTGATGACGAGAAGGATGATAGAGAGAAAAAGCGAGAGAAGAGGATGAGAGAAGCAATAGCAGCAAGAATCGCGTGGTCCAGAGAGATACTACGTACGAATCGTGGAAGCTGGGAGAAAGAGGGAGCCGAAAAGTAGTTTAATATACGGCAATCCCTTTGACTCGGAACTCGCAAACTCACGAACTGACTACCTCTCATTCGTGAATTCTCTCT